ATCATGTTTGACTTGAGTTTTGGAAAACTAGCCCAAATAGGGCAACAATGGCGTGTTTATTACTTTTTATATTATGCAAATATTATCATCATTACTATTATTATCCTTGTGAAGAAGCTGAAACAAGGTGGTGGATTTTGTAATTGTATAAATTATTACACATTTATAAATTATTTGGTGTGACCGGTTCTTACTTGTAAATGAATAAATTATTATATGGTGTACTATTTTATACATATGACATTATTATTAATAAAAGTGAAACAATCTGATTGGATTTCTCACAAGTGCTCCTTTTAATTGTCTGGTCAAATAATATACTTTTTGATTTGATCGTAGATTTCTTCAACATGCTTATCAGTTTCAATAGTTATTCAATTTTTTATGCTTATTTTGGTTTTGAACAGGAAATGATGTAATTCTTCTTTTGGTTAATTTCAATAGTTTTTTAAGTTCAATTTTATTGAAAAATAACAGCCCCTTTCATTATTTGTAATCATTTTATTTATCTTCCATTATTGTAATACTAGTTCAATTACATTTCTTTAAAAGCAATTATTAGGGTGAAATATAAAAATAGAAAAGCAAATATTATTTCTTTTTGCATTTTAATTACCATATATGTTGGAATAGGAATGCTTTTTACTAGACTTACCTATTAGAGAGCTATATTTTTTCGATAGTTACACAAACTTTTAAATTAAAATATTTTATTTAAGAAATTCAGTTAGACAATCATATTTTTTCAATAGCTATATAAATTTTTAAATTAAAATGTCATATTTTATAAAACTAGTAATCACCCGTGCTATGCACGGGGAAATTATTATCTATACGCTTTTTAGAAGACAATTTTTGTTATAAATTGTGTAATAATGCAATGATCATGATAATAAGAATAGACATGTAAATATATAATTAAACTGAAAAGATCATATATTATTGAATACTTCCCTATATACAATATTATTGGTTTGATTCTTTGGCACGTCATCTTCGCTACAAATTAAGATTTTCAAACCTTTTCGGTTAGTGACACGGGAGACAGCAACATATAATTGACCATGACTGAACACTGGTTTCTTAAGAAATAAGCCAACATGAGATAAGGATTGTCCATGGCTCTTGTTTATAGTCATGGTGTAAGAAACCATAATGGGAAACTGTCGCCGCTGGAACTTGAAAGGAATTCTAACATCAGAAGGAGTTATGGCCATTCTTGGAATCAACACCTTATCACCATCATGATCTCTTGTGAGTATCTTACACTCAAGAACGTGAGTGGATAGCTTTGTCACAACCAATCGTGTCCCATTACATAAACCCATAGAATGATCCATGTTCCGCAACAACATGACTGGAGTTCAAATCTTCAAATACAACTCATGGTTCGGTATTCCGGAACACTTGATACTATTAAAAAATTCAGGCGTATGGAGATCAGACAAAAAATCATTATTAGAATCCGATTTGCACGTACTGTCAGAGCTCAAGTACATAAGACCATCCAACAAATTCAAGGATGTCGTGTACTCATTGATAGACTCGACCACATCCAACGTCGGCGCTAATATAGCCCTATCCTTCAAATAACTTGGATCGTCGGGTGCCTCTTTATACATTGGATATGTGCTTTCAACGATCTGAGCAATAAGATCATCAGATGGCTGAAGCAAAATGTCTTCGGGTATGTCTATAGGTTCACATCCATCATTCGACCCCCCCGATAGTTCCATTAGTGAGAATGTTATCATGCGAGTTTGTACTCCTTTGACGTTCTTCATTTGAATTGGATGTATCTCGACCACCATTCCAATGACATCTAAATATGTATTAAAAATGCTTGAAAAATATTATTAAATTTAAAAAAACAAAATTAAATAAGTGAAAATGCAATTACCAAATAGCATGGATTCGTCGATCTTCTCGACATCAATTAGTGTGATGAACCTTCGAAAGTCGAAACGAAAAATTGGAAAGTCACCCTTGTAGCTTATGTGTTCAGTTCTACCATGTAGTATAAGCCTGTATTATGTAATGGTGGATCTATACATTCCAATATTACTCTTAACCTGATAGTTTTGAAATGCAT